TATATTAGTCCCACTAATGCATAAAGCAATGTCTCAAAAAACATTGTAATCGCTTGACACGAATCTTGGCTGCCTTTTACTCTAGACTACCAAGATGACCAAGTGCCACCAGAAAAAGCTTTGTCAATGCCAATGGCGTAATACAAGGAGATGTTGGGCAAGAGCACAACCAGCTCCAACGCTTCAGGGTGTCGTAGTCGTTCTTCTGATTAATCTAGTGCTGCCAGAGCATCTCTTGCTTCATTAGCCTTGGTGTTTCATTCTAACGGCATATCCAAGGAAAAACTATTTATCAGGCCTGCTTTTCTGTTTAACAGTGAGCGATTGGTCATTCGAAAAACCACCTAAAGACAAGGAATTATTTGACCAGCCGCGTACCTACTTCCAGCATGCTCACTATACGCAGAGTTTTCAAGGAAAAGAGTCACGCTACCCTGATTTTGCGATCACGTTTTCACGGTTTAAATAATATTTGCGAATCGTAAAACAAACGATCTGCTTATTATTACATTGATTCTTAGATGTTATGAAACATAATTAATATGGAAGTTTTACTACATTATCTTTGGTTTAGACACAAAGTAAAATATAAAATACTCATGACTTTAGTAACGCCACAATGTACTGGTTAAGTGTGTTTATAAAATAGACTTTCTACGAAATGAGGAAATTAGGTAATGGTTAATAGTCAGTGAATAAAAACCTATTTATCGGAAAATGTACCATTAAAATATATTATTAAACAGTTTGTAAAACGCACCTGCTTGTCAAGTCTTATTTCTAAAAACAAAATTCCTGAATAAGCTTTTTACTTCGTTATTTTACTGGTTTAAACTAAGATCCTGTGATAACGGTTCAAAGGACAATCGTATGTAAGGGAAATTAATGGTTTGTGATTCATAACTACAATTATAATTTTCTACTACGAAATATATTTCTCCTACTTTAAGAATTTTTGAGGGTCACGTGTGCCCTTAGTTAGAAAAATAGGGTTCGCACCTAGCGCGCATCCAATCAAGGCAAGCACAAGGAATACCTCTGGCCTAGTGCTTGCTCTAGTGACATGCGCTACCAGGTACGAAAATTATCATAAAATAATAACTGTACTGATTTATCGTTTACTTAGTCAGAAAATAAAATGTGAAGCATAAACGATGGTTATAATGCTATAATGTATAGGTTCATTACGTTACACCGTTTTTGATGTAAAACATCAATGATCGCGCTTGGGAGTTCGACCGACGCGATGAAGCTATCCGTGCGATGGCACGATCTCCAGTTAAACTCGGCTCGGCTCTCTATGTCTCTCCATGCGCTTACTGCCGCCCCTCTCTCGTTTGTAAAGTGAACTACCCGTATATATAGCTGTATACAAGGGCATATAAATAAATGTCACACATATATGTATTGTATACATAGTGTACACATACGTACGCAAATATATTAAATATTATATATTACGTATGTCCAAATAAAATTTTCAAATTTTACTGACTTCGAGAATCGAACCTACATCTTTTGGATTGGTAAATAATCAGTGACGATATTGATTTTACTACGCAGCACGCTGATCTAATTTCTGTTCAAATTACTGATGGATACCAATCGAGAAACTTGTAAATAAGAAAACTGATCGATGATTGGGCGTCTTTTATATTATATACTATTTAGCCCACCAATATCAAAATTAATAGTTATAATTATTTTTGAGAGGTCCAATAATGTTTAAACTGTATAAAATTGTGTTTTGACGTTCATTTTGCTTATATCTTTTAACGGTTGGATATGCAGAAAAAGTGAAAATACCAGCGTGTAGGGCGAAAAATTTTATATCAACAAGCACTTTTAATTTTGTTTTGACTAGCGCAGAATGTTGAGAAAAAAAATGAAAAAGACATTTTGGCAGTACCTGTATTAAGAGTAAGTGATAGGATAGGGAGAGAGCCATTGATCATCTGCTGTGGCGCTCGCTCTCTCTATATTGTACTCAAACAGGTAAGCCTTTTTTATAGCTTTTTTTTAATAATTGGCTCTTGTAGAAAATAATAAATGAATGTCAGAATAAGTATTATTTTTTCATCATTTTAAAAAATTTCTTCTGTGTGAAATGGATTGTTTTCAAATATCAAAATTAAATCATAATGCAAAGTTTTCCCGGGGTCTTCTCATTGTGTTTATTCAAACTCCATCTTAAGTATCTTCACCGGTCTTTAGTAAAGAGCTAACGAAATTTGCGCACCTGCGCAACAACGCACAGTAAGCAGGTATCCGAAAAAAGACAGAGACACACGGAGAGTAATACACACAAACGTTTGTTAAACTAATGTATGTACCTATGTGTAGGTGGGTAGTATAGATACTCTTCGCCGTGTCTTATTGTTCTTTCTCGTTCTTATTGTTTACATGTGAATGAAAAATAAAAAAAAATGTATGCATAATTTAATATTAGATTTTTCTTAATCTATAATATTCACTGACAAAAATATATGTTTATGAATATACCGTCTTTTTAATATAAAAATATTAAATAAAGATTATTTAAAGTCAAAAAAATAAATATATTTCCTACCTCGCGCGTTTTTGACAGGCTGGTGTGCGCTCGATAGAAAAAATAGGATTCTCCACATAAACACCACTGCTCCATGGCCGCCTTACGTCCCTCGGGCCTTGTTTCGCAGAACCGTTAGGCTGCAAAATAGCCCTACAGACAATGGCACTTATCTGACGAAAATCACTGTTTTTATCATAGACAATCAAATACTTCCAAGTTCAATAACATATTCTTCAATGTTTAACATCTATTGGGGCTTCCAAAACTCACACCTTTTTTTTTTAAGACAACTATAGACGACGTCTGAGGTAGATAAATAGTAGTTTTCCTACGAGTTTATAAAGTCTCTGTTTGCGAACCGAGAGGTTTGCGGCCCGAGCCGAAGGCGAGGGACGTAACGAGGTTCGTAAAGGAGACTTTTCGAACGAGTTCCGGAAAACTGCTTTTTCGCCCGAGGAAGTACCAGCCTCCAAAAACCACCCGTGGGCGGAAAATTTGATTTTCGAACACTCAGTATTATTTGTTAATTTGAAAACTACTTTTTTAAATATTTTTCGTTGCAAATTAAAATATTTTTAATGAGTGCCAAAAGCGCCTGTAATCTGTTTGGTATCAAACAAAAAATTAAATTGAAGCTTGTAACAACACAGAGACTAAAAATTAATCTTACTGATTGTCTTACAAACCAGTAGTATTTGATGGCACAAAAATTTGTTACTCGTTAAAAAAAACCTTCTAAAATAATATTATGTTTAAAAAATGAATCCAGACACACTCAATCGACTTGAGTATAGTTTCTTGACAACAACCTTGAACCTTAAAAAACGTATTTCAAAGGGGCAGAAAAGTGATCTAAAATTAATAATTTTATTGGCTTTTATAAATGGAAAAAAAGAAATTTGTGCGCACAAATATAGAGATCGTCGTATTATTATAATCTCAATTTTTGTTGTTTTGGGTATTTTTTAATAAAAACATTGTAAAATTGTAAAACCGAATTCATAGAAACATGAAAAAATAATTTTTTAATAATTTTATATCAACATAACCTTTACAGACAGAAAGAATATTTCATTTGAAAAAAGTAGCCAAATAGTTTGAATCAACAATTTTCAGTGTTTTATAAAGTGCTAATTAACTTTAAGGGGCAGAAATTGTATATTAGGTCACGAGTCAGGGAAGTAGTACATTCCCGNCCTAACAAGCTTTTATAGCTCACCGCTGTGGCGCGCTGTATACATCCAAAATATATCTTTTGACATACTTATCGTTGTGTTATGGCAGCTCAACGCCTACAAAGTAGTATTACGAATACTTCGCAACATCACATTCATCATCACGTTCTTAGACAACTCAACATAACCTTTACAGACAGAAAGAATATTTCATTTGAAAAAAGTAGCCAAATAGTTTGAATCAACAATTTTCAGTGTTTTATAAAGTGCTAATTAACTTTAAGGGGCAGAAATTGTATATTAGGTCACGAGTCAGGGAAGTAGTACATTCCCGTCGGCGTGTATATCACCACCGGAGGTGAAGCCGAGGGTGGAAAATACGCGGACGGTGATGTGCTATTTTTCTGCCGAGTGACGTATACGATTTTTCTTCATATCCGGCGGGAAGTTTGCGACCCAAAAAAAGTTATTTGTTGCTTAATTTAATATACAATAAATACGCAGTCGTTCCGTCGTTCATTGTGAACGCTTATGCGTTTGTTGATCTTGAGACTCTAGAGAAATAAAAAGAGCAAGTGAGATAGAAAGCAATATATATTACTGCAGTAACTAGGAGAGAGCTGCGCAGTACGTTAGTGCGCAACAAAAAATTCCCGTCCTGGTCAGGAATGCATAACTCCCCAGCCTGAAATCAGGACGGGAATGCGAACTTCTCGTCAGGGTATGATGAAAAATAACTTTACTTTTCATCTTTTAGATATATTTTCATAAAGTAAGATTAGAAATTTTCGAAAAAATTATAACACTTGTAGGGTGACAATAGTAATAGTAATAATAATAAAAATTATAATAATATAGCTGTATACAAGGGCATATAAATAAATGTCACACATATATGTATTGTATACATAGTGTACACATACGTACGCAAATATATTAAATATTATATATTACGTATGTCCAAATAAAATTTTCAAATTTTACTGACTTCGAGAATCGAACCTACATCTTTTGGATTGGTAAATAATCAGTGACGATATTGNGCTTTGACGATACACGGAGTTTTCTTTATCTCTCCCTCTCTCTGTACACAAATGCCTGTGTAAATGCATTGTTATTTCTACGATGATCACCTCTTTCACATTTTTTATGGATAAACATCACCGTCAAAATTTTATTAATGTTATCTGTTGTATTAAATAATATAATGCATTTAATTTTTTATTTTTTGGTACTTTTAATGCAAGATTATTAATGTTTATAAATATTTCTAGGTTAGCGCCAACAGTATTTGTTGAAAACCATTGTACGACGTAAGAAGACCAGTGTGTTGTCGTAATTTTAAATATTATCATGGGTATTGGAAAACTATTCTCTTTCATTCTAGTTATTATCATTATTGTCTACAGTGCACAAGATTCTATAGAATCAATTAATAATGTTGATTCTGGAATTTCTTCATCAACTTCATCACTTTCATTTTTGTCATCAATTACTCATGATGTATCTAATGATAGATCAAAACTAGCTGCCGCAAGCAATTATGATCATTCGATTCCTAAACCAGACTCATCTAATAATAATTATCAGAGATGTGAAGAAATAACAATTCCAATGTGCCGTGGTATAGGCTATAATTTTACTGCAATGCCTAATGAGTTGAATCATGACACTCAAGAAGAAGCAGGACTTGAAGTTCATCAATTTTGGCCTCTTGTAGAGATAAAATGTTCTTCTGACTTAAAATTTTTTTTATGTTCTATGTACACTCCGATCTGTCTACCAGAATACACCAAGCCTCTTCCAGCTTGTAAAAGTGTTTGTGAGCGTGCTCGAACGGGATGTGCACCTCTTATGCAACAGTATGGTTTTTCTTGGCCAGAGCGGATGGCTTGTGAACGATTACCTAGTCAAGGAGATTCTGATAATCTGTGTATGGAACAAGACAACAAAACTTTACTCTCAACTGACGTTATAGCACAAAGCATACCTCCAGTACTTCTTTCGAAACCGACGAAGTCATCTAAAACCATTCAATCAGTCAAATGTAAACCTGGAAAAAATCAGAAGAATTGTTTGTATTCCAATAACAACAAAGAGAAAGACTGCACTTGCCGATGTCGACCACCGCTTATTTCTTTAGTTCCCTCGAATTCTCTAAAAGAAAGTAGTGGAATTCTTAATTTTGATCCTTTAGTTATTTCTGACATCACAGGTTTCTTAGTTACTCAAAAATTAGACATCATTGGAGTAACAGATTGTGTTTTACCTTGTCAAGGGGCATTCTTAACAAGTGAAGAAAAAAGTTTTGCTACGGTATGGTTAACTTTATGGAGCGGATTATGTGCAGCAAGTACACTAGCTACAGTTACAACTTTTCTCATTGATACACAACGATTTAAATATCCCGAAAGACCTATCGTATTTCTTTCGGCATGTTACTTTTTAGTATCATTAGGATACTTATCAAGAAGTGTTGTTGGGCACAAAGAAATAGCATGTGACGGTAACATGTTAAGATATGGAACAAATGGCCCTGGAATATGCATCACAGTATTCTTATTAATTTATTTTTTTGGAATGGCTTCGTCTGTTTGGTGGGTTATTTTGGCTTTTACATGGTTTCTTGCAGCTGGATTGAAATGGGGAAACGAAGCAATTGCATCATACTCACAGTATTTTCATCTTGCTGCATGGATGGCTCCAACAGGGCAGACAGTGTGGGCTCTTTTATCTGGTGGTATAGCAGGTGATCCCATTGCAGGAGTGTGCACTGTAGCATCAGAAGGCATCCCCATATTTATACTGGCACCATTATTAGTGTACCTCTTACTCGGTACAACATTTTTACTTGCTGGATTTGTAAGTCTATTTAGAATTCGATCGGTAATTAAACGTCAACCCGGAGCCAAAGCTGATAAGTTAGAAAAATTAATGATTAGAATTGGGATATTTTCAGTTTTATATACAGTTCCAGCTAGTGCAGTTCTTGCATGCTATCTTTATGAAACAACATCTAGGGGTGAATGGCTTAATTCATTAGCTTGCCCTTGCAAAACTCGTGTTAGGCCCTTGTATTCTGTCATAATGTTAAAATATTTTATGGCACTAGCAGTTGGCATTACATCTGGTGTATGGATATGGAGTGGAAAAACGATTGATTCTTGGCGTAAATTGTGGAGACGTCTGTGCAGTAAAAATTCAGATTTTTCAAATAATTTTACCGGACCCACTGGTACTAGAGTTACCAGTCATATAGTTGGTAGTAAAGGACTTGTTGAACGAACGGTTACTTCTCAATATTTAACACCATCAGGTCCAAGTAGTACTTTATTGCAACAAAGTAGTATTACGAATACTTCGCAACATCACATTCATCATCACGTTCTTAGACAACCTCCTATTTCTCACGTATGACGGCAGCAGTTGGCAGAAGGTGATTCGAATAACACAGGTTGTCAACATACGGAAAGACCTTCTGCCTTAAGTAATTATGGGCCACTCTAAATAACGATATTTTAAGAAATAGTTGTAATATGTTCATATAACCTTTTTTAAAACAACATTGTATTTCTTTATTCTTTACGATTTATTGATGTGTAAAAATCATGATATAGATAATGTAAAACTTTACGTGATTAGTGATAGCAATATTCCCTATTGGCTTGAAATCCATAAAATGTATAATAAAGCCCTTTTTAAAAGACACACACACACATACACACGTGCACGCACACACGCACACACACACAACAATTCAATTTAAAAAATAATATATTCCATATCACTTATATACTCTAGTAAAAAAAATCAAACAATTTATTTATTTCACAATATACTGGAGTACTCTTATAAAATAAACATACAACTTTTAAACAAAAAAGTAAAACTTTTTCTAAATGACCTTATACTGACATAATGTAATACTATTTTCAGTGTATTAATAAATATTTGTAGATGACGTTTCAAACTATCTTTATGTTATATTATCAACAGAATAAAATTTTTAGTTGAACAAAGACCAGGTAAAGAATTTCTACTTCCTATAAAAAAAATATTTAAGTAGTTACGAATGCTCTTATGCATTTAATTATAAAACAATAATTTCAACCACACGTATTGTAATAATTAGGTAAACAGTTATTATTGACAAGTTTTTTAATATTGTCAAATTTATATGAATACTTATAAGTTTGAAATAAGAATTAGTTTTTTTTAAAAATTTATTACGAGCTACACAGAATGTTTTGACTAACAGAACTAAATGAACTTGCTACGTAAATTTTTTCTACAAAACCTTTTTTTTCTCTAAAACATGTTTTTTAATTTTGTTTGAAAATCTAGACATTATCGATTAATAGATTATAGAATTTGCATAACTCGACGATATTATTGATAACTATTTCTTTGTTTTTAGCTCGTAAGTGCACTTCAATACCAAAGACTATTACGAAAAACTACTTCAAAGATCCGTTTGTAAACTTCTATGCGTTCTTTTTGAGGATATTAACCTAAGTAAGGTGTTATTAGGGCTTTTACATCAAAGCTTTTGAACGATAAATTAAAAAAAAAATACATTATCTGAACTAAAAAGTATTATACAAAGTATAGTCAATCCCATGGAAACTAATAATAAAAATATTGATGTTACACCAGTTCCCAGGATTAGAACTATAAGATTGACAACTTTTGGAACAGTAAAATCATGTGGAATAGTCACACATTCACTCATTGGTTCTAAAAGTTGAATAATATTTCGTGAAGATACAAATGTAAGTTAAAAAAAGGCGCATGCACCATCTTTTACTTGCTTAACGAGGTTTGTGAGTATCATTCAGAAAGGCGGTCACTAAACTTTTCCAACTAAGAGTTTTTCTCAGCATCTTAAATTAAAAATTTTAGAAAGTTCACTTTTTTCGTGAATTTGTCAGTGGTTGACTCATGCAACGTATCGATTGTATTTTTTTAATATTTTACACTTTTATTAATCTTTTAGTTTTTCCTTAAACTTTTTTCCGCCCATTTTTCTGCACATCTCGTCTCAGTTGCTGCCCACTTTTTGCTATCATTTATTATCTTTTTTTTTCTAATCCAACTGTTCTAACCTTTATCCATGACAGTTGAAAGACAAATCATGTAAACAGAGTTATGCATCAGCTTTTAGAGCTTTACCCTTACCATAACTTTACATGAGTTATAGAAGTCTCTATTTTTTTGACTACATTTAACAATGCAATTATGTAGAATTAGACAACATGTTGATTAGTTAAGAGAATAAAAATTTGAAATGTAGGTATACTGGAGCATTTTTTAGCGACACGTTTTAATTGAGGCAATCAATACGTGTGGAAAGTAAATGATGCAGTTATTGATATTTTCTCAACAAAGGAGTACGATTGTTACTGTCCAATGACTTATGAAAATTGCCATACGTGTCATACAACAATGCATTTTGACTGTTTATTACATTTAGATTAAGTAAGTAATAAAAATATTTTAGTGAATTCGTACAGCTGACAATGAAAAAAGTAGTGAAATCTACCATGGTGACTCCGGTGAAATAATTAAAATGAAAAACCCTCTTTTAAGTCAGTTTATTACACTACTTAAATAAATCTTCTAAACTTTTTAGTTGTGCTCACAACTTCCGATCCAGAACACGCATGCATTTGTACACTATTTATGCAAGGAGACAAGACTAAATGCTTAGAATGTCTCTCAAGTTTAATAAAACAAAATAAGAATATGCAAGTTATTTTTTTGGGCTCGTTAGTTTAAACCCTTAATTTTTAGAAATTAATTGTTTCAATGCGATAGCTTTAAACTTTTAAGCAATTTTCTTTGTTAGCATAATTTCGGTTGTAAGTGCTCGTTGTCGAGTGATGGAATGCATATCAACTGTATTTGTACGTTTCATGATTATGCACTATTCCCATTACTACTTTTTCTGCATTTATGTAAGCTCCTCTAGTAATGTTACTTCCAACTCTCAATGTGTTATCTTTGTGAAAACATTAGGTACATCTATGTTGTAAGTAATAATCGTTTTAAGAGCTTGTTCCGTAAAACTTAGAAGCCAGTCTGTAAGTATCTTTTAGTATAAAATCACTACGTGAAGAGTATGATGATTGTTTTGATGTCAACAACTGTATTATCAGGTTGCAATACATCGATTATCATAGACTCATTATCCAATATCTCTTAGCTATTAGTTAAAAAAACAACGACTTGATCATCTATGTGAAATTTATTGGTATATTCGTCTATATTTTGAATTAAATTAAAAGTATAAAGATCTACTAAGCCCAGAACATAGTTGTCTCTATGATAATTTGAATAGTAAGAAAATACTGTGCTCCTAATACAAAAAATTTATCAGATAGACTTAGCATCAGTATTTCTTTCATGACTGCTAAAGAGCGAACAAACAAATTATTCCTGACTATTGCAAACCTGATTTATTTTGTGACGATCTCTGTAACTGGAATCATTAGCACAAATAACTAGAATTGTAAGAATCAAAATATTGTTATTTTTAATAGTTTTAATTAATCTGTTAACTTCTAAATGTAGCATTTAAACGATAAATGGCTGTAAATCACCAAACCTTGCAGAAAAAGTTGTGGCATTACCACGTTTGTAGTTGAACGGTTACTTCTCAATATTTAACACCATCAGGTCCAAGTAGTACTTTATTGCAACAAAGTAGTATTACGAATACTTCGCAACATCACATTCATCATCANTTTTTTTTAATTATTTTGAGCAAACAATTTTAGGTAAAACACTAATCCAGTCATATGCACGCAAAAAAAATGCTAGTTCTCAAAGCCTGTTTGCATACGCTGCCAGTGTTCAAGTAACGCGTGGGCTCTTACTGCATGACTATTTAGGTCTTTTTGCGTTAAAGATCGTTATGTATGTGCACAAATAGGCGTTGAGCTGCCATAACACAACGATAAGTATGTCGAAAGATATATTTTGGATGTTTACAGCGCGCCACAGTGGTGAGCTATTAAAGCTTGTTAGGAGGAGCTGCGAGAGCCGGCCGATCGGGCTCCCACAACACAATGTCAGAGTTCAATGTGCAGGCTGCTTCTTAAAGCTTCCAAATGCTTAATTTTGGTCTCTAATATCGATTCATTGTTATTTTTAAAATACAATTACTCAAAAGGCTTCAAGAGTTTAAAATTTATCTGTACATAAAAAAATAATAAAAACACATCATTGATAATTTTTAAGTCGTAAGTTTTTTAATTCATTTAATAAAGGGGCTATAAATTTGGTAATTTTTTTTTTTAATGAAATTTATTATTATATTATGAATCTGTAGATTGTAGTTAGTGGGAATTGAAATAAAAACTGGAGTAGTTGATTGGATCAATACTGAAATAATTAATAATTTAAATGCATAATGAATTGTCCATTGAGTGTATTTATACTTGAACAAAAAATCCGGAGCAGAGTACATGCTGTATTGCCAATTGACGTCAGCTGATGCTCACTACTTCCAAGCCTCGACATTGTGCTGTGGGAGCCCGATCGGCCGGCTCTCGCAGCTTCTCCTAACAAGCTTTTATAGCTCACCGCTGTGGCGCGCTGTATACATCCAAAATATATCTTTTGACATACTTATCGTTGTGTTATGGCAGCTCAACGCCTATTTGTACCCGTACATAACGATCTTTAACGCAAACAGACCCAAATAGTCATGCAGTAAGAGCCCACGCGTTACTTGAACACTGGCAGCGTATGCAAACAGGCTTTGAGAACTAGCATTTTTTTTTGCGTGCATGGCCTAAACTTAAAACCTCGCCCTAGAAAAACAGTCTGTATAACTCCGTTATGTCTCTGACTTGATTGCAGTTGCTGAGGTTCAATCAGGGTATGTGATACATCGCAAAATATCGAAAAAGGGTAGCAGTTTCAAGACGTCAATCACCTTAGAGTGCATTAAAAATAGGTTATGGTTATGTCAGATTTCATCTGACTCTTGACATATCGAATACCCTGATTGAACCCCTGCTTCGCTTTTTGTTGCATTATTATTTTTGAATATTCTCACAGTTCTATTTTTAATGTAGTTGGAGTTGAAGCTATTAACTATTGGTATTAGAGGTAAGTCACCCTTAGTTCTTGCAGGAAGAGGTGAGATTCGTGGTATTTTACGATCTGCTTTGACGATACACGGAGTTTTCTTTATCTCTCCCTCTCTCTGTACACAAATGCCTGTGTAAATGCATTGTTATTTCTACGATGATCACCTCTTTCACATTTTTTATGGATAAACATCACCGTCAAAACTGTAATAACTCATGAGAAAAATTTAATATGTACCATAAATGAAATTAAACAACTTGTTTTTCAAGTAAGAAAATTTTTGGAAAAATAAAATAAATATGCAATTTAAAAAAAAATACACCACTTTTTTTTTCTTTAAGTTTATTCTGGATCAATATATCATACATACACACGCACACACACACACACACACAACGGGGCGAGGTTTCACTTTCTGTTTTCGCCTTGAGTGTGTTTCTTGCACGCACTATTGAATCGCCACATATGTAATCATGAGTTAGTTTTTAATGCACATGTTGTTTTCTTTGTCGTCGTCGTCGTCTTGACAGTTTAACGTAACATTTCTTGTGATGTCTACGGTTTGAAAGCTTCCTCTAGACTGAGTACTGAAGTCCATGTTGAGCTTTTTATGTATTTGTTTTTTCATAAGCAGAACCTATTATGATAA